GATGTACATTTACAACATATGTATTTTCTGTGTCAATCTGATACAAAGATTTAAAAAATGTGGCTATGAATCAGTCTGTTTTACAGATGTTGAGGTAAAATTGGTGAGTCTTCCTCAACATGTGGGGTTTCTGTCTCTTCTGAGTTTTTATACATTTCCCTGTGTTTTCTCTTCCTTGTGTGCAGCTCCTCTCACTCTTGTCTTCACTCCCAATCACCCCAGGTAGTTCTGATTCATGTCTCATTAGTTCCGGTATAATGTCTGGGTCTTTTCTCTCCTCCTGTCTGGGCATTATCCTTCCCATGGCCATGTGTTTCTGCTCATCTGTCTTCTCCTTAAAAGCAAGTTTTTGGCTGCCCTGTCAGCTCAGTTATGTTTTGTAAAATAAATTTACTTTTACCTTGGAGTCTACTGCCTCTACCTGCACGTGGGTTCACCATTAAAAGCAGAAATATGTCACAACACACATTTAAATGGCTAATAGATCAAGCAACAGGTGTTTGCTGATGACGCCGCTCTCGTAACCCACCCGGAACCAGCCCTGCAGTGTATGGTGTCCAGCTTCGCAGACGCTGTCCAGCACTTTGTCCTGGAGAGCAGTCTGAAGAAGATGGAGGTGCTAGCTACACCAACCAGCACCTGGTGAGCAGTACCATCTCCCTCACATCGACATCGGCGAGACGGAGCTGAAAGCTGTCCAGCAGTTCCCCTATCTTGGGTGCATCATCTCCTCAGACCCTAAGATAGACAATGAGATCGACAGCAGATGTGAGCAGCGCCTTTGGCAGGCTCTGCAAAAGTGTGGTCAAATAAAGACCTGAAGACGAGGACCAACATCAGTGTGTACAGAGACACTGTAGTGACCACCCTCTTGGCTCTGAATCATGGGTCACCTACAGCCATCATATACAGCTCCTCGAACGTTTCCACCAACATTTCTCCGCTCCATCCTCAACATCCTCTGGAGTGATTTTGTAACCAACGTAGAGATTCTCCAGGAGGCGAAGATCACCAGCATCGAGGAATACTGCTCAAGGCTTGCCTTCATTGGGCAGGGCATGTGTCCAGGATGGAGGACCACCGCCTACCTAAGATTGTGTTGTATGGCAAGCTGTCCTCTGAGTGGCGCAAGAGAGGGGCACCACAGAAACACTACAAAGACCCTCATCAAGGCCTCCCTGAACGTGAGACATATTGATCCTCCCAAAACTGGTCCACGCTCGCCGCTGACCGTGGCGCCTGGTGGTCAACCATCCACAAGGCGGTGGGCTCCTTTGAGACAGAAAGATGTGCCAGCTTGGAGGACAAGCAAAGCAGGAGAAAGAAGAGAGAGCACCCACCCCTGACCAGACATTCACATTCACTTGCAGCCACTGAAGCTGAGGCTGCCGCTCCAGGATCGGTCTCATCTGCCACCAGATGGCCTGCAGTCGTTGACACCTTCATGATCTTCAGAGACGAAGCCAAGTCAGAGAGAGAGAGAGAGAGAGAGAGAGAGAGCGAGAGAGCGAGAGAGCGAGAGAGAGCGAGCAACAGGTGGTGGGTGATGTGCGTTATTTAATTCATTTATTTAAAAATCAATGTAATACATACGACTGCCTTTGTTTTAGGACCTGTTATCATAATGCTTATAATTTATTCACTATACTCATGGTGGCTGAGATGGGATAGAGGCAGGGCAGCCAACTTGGGACCCAAAAGTCCCAGGTTCAATCTCCAGTCATTGCACATCTCATGTTGTCTCTGAACAGGATACCCTATCCCCAGTTGCTCCCCGGACACTTTCAATAGCTGCCCACTGCTCCACCTGGGGATGGATGGGTTAAATGCAAAGAGCCATTGTATGGGAACATACAATGATGACTATAAATTCTTCTTATTATTTCATCATGATAAAGAAAACAGTTTCTAATCTATCCTGATGCATGCTCAATAATCCAGGTAGAAAAATCTAAAAAAGTTCAATCTGGTCCTCTGGACATGGACAGAGGACCAGATTGAACATTTTTAGAGTTTCTAATCTAGGTTTTAAAATGGACAGTGATTTTAAATTAGATTGGAGCGGAGGTCAAGGCCAATTTTTTATCACCTAACCTACCTGGCTAACAAGGTAAAGTTGATCCTCACACAACAACAGCTGGAAACAGTAATCCATGCCTTTGTCACCTCTCAGCAGGATTACTGTAATGCTCTTTACCTCGGAGTCAGCCAGTTCTCCCTCAGACGTCTCCAGTTGGTCCAGAGCGCTGCTGCTCAGCTTCTAACTGGAGTTCATAAGAGGGAGCACATCACCCCCACTCTGGCTTCACTCCACAGGCTGCCTGTTCATTTGAGAGTTAATTTTAAGATTCTTTATTTGTTTTAAGTTTAAATGCTTGCTCCATCCTTCTCTGAGCTTCTTCACCCATACTCTCCTGCTCGGTGCCTCAGATCAGCTGATCAGCTGCTCCCGGAGGTGCCGAGGTCCAAACGGAGGCTCAGAGGGGACAGAGCTTTTTCTGTTGCTGCTCCAAGACTGTGGAACGGTCTCCCTCTTCCCGTCAGATGAGTCTCTTCACTGTCCATTTTTAAAACTGTTTTAAAAACACACTGGCTTTGGCACAACCTGAGACCTGTTGTGCACGGTTTTGATTGTTTTTAGTGTGTTAACTCTTTTTATTCTTTTAATGTGTGTTAAATTTTCTTGACTTTATGGGTACGGCACTATGTTGCAGATGTGGTTGTTTTTAAAGGGCTTTATAAATAAAGTTATTATTTAGTATTAACAAACTTGTTTAAGGAGATCACCATACAAGTAACTGATACGTCATAGAGACAAAAATAACTGGAGAAAATGCCTTTTCTGTGAAAGCAGTGCAAACGCTGAGGGCTGTGACAGGGTTCCCAGCATGTCACAAAAACAAAATTCCCTGATCTTTCCCTGAGTAAACACTGAAATTCCAGCAGATTTTTCAGTCACACAAAATGTTCAGAACTTTAAGATGTATGCATTATTTAGTCAATTTTAAACTTGGCACGAAAAGGAAGGAAATTAATGTTTGCTTTTTTTCTTTGTTGTAGCAATGCTTCATGTCAATGTCATATCTTTGGAAGCCTGCTTATTTTCTTAAATGATGTCAGATTTGTAAGAAAAATGTTTGTGTTGAGCAGTAAGAGTCGAGAACGAGACAATTGTCAGCACCTGTGAACAAGCAGTGGTGATCCCAAATCTTCACAGTTTGGGACCAAACTCTAACCTTGAAGATGTCCATGCTCATGCCTACAGAGTTTATCAGACTATACATTCAGAATTTGGGAGTGGGGAGGATGGAATCACCAGTCTGCAGTCTGACCTCAACTCCATTAACACCCGTAGCTTGGGTGTACAGTTCATCCATGACCAACATAACCATGTTAGCTGACTTGCAACAAAAGCTGGTTGAAGAATGGGATGCCATCCCACAAGTGTGTGACTAAGCTGCTGAGCAGCATGAGGAAGTGGTGCCAGGTTGTTGTGGCTGTGTATGGTTCTTCCACATGCTATTGAAACCCATGTTTATTAAATAAACAAATAGTTAAAAGTGCCAATATATCTTTCTTCAGATTTAAGTCTTCCAGTTCAATGCTCACATACAGTGCATTTCTAACATAAGTAAAAACGACAGCACAGCATAGCTCTTTCTTTATTTGCTCATTTATTGAGGGTTACTACTTTACATTCACTTTGTAGAAAATACATTCAGAAGTAACACTTGTTCAGTAAGCGTCAGCTTGTCAGTGAAAGCAAGAGCCAGTAAATTTTAAAGCATTTGGTAAAAATAGAAATTTCTCCAATTTACTAATTTTAATACAAACAGTTCTGTATTAGAATTGTTTGTATGAGTCATAATATAAAAATAGAATTATTCTACTGAAAATGGAAGTTCTTTATTGTCAAATGGACCTAAGTCATCAGTATTTATATATATTTTTTACTTATAAAAAGGTATTTATTTGTATTTGCTCATTTTGAATATGGCAAAGCACTTTGAGTACTGAAATAGCTAACAAATGTTTTACCTGGAGTTTTCTGTTTTATTATGTATAAAAACATAAACAAAACATACTTTAACCACCTTTAAAGCTTTATTTAAAAACTGAAAGATAATCAGGATCATTGGCTGTGAAAAATAAATGGACAATAACACAATTAAAAGTAGCCTCCAGCCTGTAACATGACTGCGATACCTTCAGTGATCTTTGGGGAAGGTGCTGCACAGTGTAGTGCTTTTTTGGGAATTTAGTATCATAATTATTTTTTGCATCGAAGTCCAGTGTTCAGAAAACATTTTGATAATCAAGTTCGTCAGCGTGTGCGTTGTGCACCAGCGATAAATAAACACTAAAGACATAAATCCATCCTCTCTATGACTCAGGGCTTTTAAAAAGACTAATTCATCTAACTAAAATAAGTTTATTAGCTCTTGATTAACAAAAACACAGATAAAGTGAACAACATAAAAAGTCTGGAACACACAGATTCATCATTATCAAGCAGTCATACTCTACATATTGCATTTTCCCCTTTTGATGAGCAGGTTAGGTTTTCGAGAACTTCACATATAAAACATCTTTGTAACTTTGACAGCAGCCAAAAATATTTTTATTTCTAGTATTGTGTTATAGAACTGTACGTCAAATCAGTCAGTGCAGGCAGAAAAGCCTCTCCGTGGTCACAGCTGTTGTACCGTCTTGGTGTAAGGCATGTGCATAGAGCAGGGTAAGAAATGCTTTTCATTCAACCAATAAACAAAAAGGAAAGCGTTTTTAGAAACGTATGCATGTGTGAGGGCATGATTCTACAGAACTCCAACAAAAACGGGGTGAATTAGGAAGGTAGAGGCAGATGTACACCTACAGTCTTTATGAATGGAGATAAAACAAAGAGCTATGTTTTGTCCTCAGACGATTTGTGACGCAGTCTGTTGACAAAATTGCCACTTAAAAGCAGAAGTGAAACAAAAATAAGAAGATCACATTTATCATCTTGGCATATATTCTGCAGGGACTCCAGACATATTCCTTTTCTTCAAAGCAGCATCTACTGTTCTGATCAGTTTGTTAATGTCCTCTCTCATTTCAGGAGTGTACGGATCATACTCGAGCTTGCGTAGCCCCGATCGCTTGAAGTTTCCATCCTTCTGGCCCTCGACGCAGAGCAGGCGATCTTCTGAAACCTCCAAACCCAGGAACTGGACCATCCCTTTGAGCCGTGCAAAAAGGTCCCTCTTCAGATCCTCAAAGTGGACCACGTGGACGTTCCTCCCATAAGTCAGCCAGTCCAAGGTGTGTGAGGCCCACCAAGGAGCATAGTTCTTCACAAACTCAGGCCACTCTGCAAAATGAATGAAAAAACAGAAAACTTTAAATGCTCCATTAAACCCTCAGGCAGGAGACATATGACAATTATTGTGAGTATAGATCAGAAAGATGAATTTGTCTTTTGGTTTTGTGAAACAGTTTTATTTCATGTGAGTTTTCATATTTACAAAACGGCACACGTCTGTGCGAGAACAACATGAAGAAGAAATGAGGACATAGCAGAAAGTCCTGATGTCACTTAGATCGTCACATCTGTCACAATTTGTGGCAGAATGATGCAGTAAGTAATTTCCAAATGCCTGGACAGTTTCATAAGTGCTTTGGTTACCTGTCAAACTGCAGAACTTTTGGAGGAAAATAAAATCCTCTTTTTCTAACTTTTACTCAGTAGATATACGCCGGCCCATAAAAGCAGCAGCTGGCAGAAGCTGTGCTGCATTCGAGCGTATCGTCACTGCTCGGAGAGGTCGTCATTAAAGTTTCCAAACTGCTGAGTTTGCAGTGCCGTCTCAAAAACTAACAACTGAGGCAACTTTAATATTACTTTGGCATGGTCAAACTTTCTGTTATCCAGCAGTAAAGCATGTGAAAAATGACCTTACGTTCAAAGGTTTTAATTTAAAAATAGCAAATTCAGCCAAGATTCCTTCCTGAGATTCCAAATCAATAATCACAAAAGGCCTGATTTGTGCAACCACTAGTTAATATTTAGTTGCACTTTCTTCATTACAGCTGGTATATTCCCTCAATGGCTAACTATAAATTCTCAGTTCCCGTTTGTGGGATTTTTGTCTTTTTATTTATTCACCAAAATGCTATTAATTCTGTGAAATTGTTGTCGGTTTTACATGTACTGTTCTTATTAAATTAATCTACAGATTAAACCTACTTGGTTCTGAGGATTATCATCCTGTCCAGAAATAATGTCTTTTTAAAATTCTCTTAACAGAGTAATGTTTACCTTCTGATTTTGCTGGTACTTTACGAATAAAAATCTTGCACCTTGAAATGTTCTTCTTGTGGTGGACACAAAACAAGTGCAAATCATCAAAAATCCACCTTCAAACACAACATCTGAAGAGGTACTATGCACTGCATTTGAAATAAAATTTTGCACATTGGTTTTTTGATTGCAGTCGAAGTGATCTATTTTAAACTTCATCTGTAGATAAGACTTGTTTTCTAAATGTAACGTGTTTGTTCAATGGTTCATGTGCAGAATTGCTTGAAGGTCCCTGCTCAAGTCCTGAGTTGGACATTTTATTTATTCATTTACCATTTTTTGTCTTTTTTTTAACAATCCAACTTGCGTTATTCTCCAAATGTTTTTCAGAATATCAGGAAACTAACATAAACTCAACCATTTTTATATGAAAAAAATAGCTTTAAAATCTGAGAGCTATTTCCTCAAATCAAGAGCTTGACAAGCTCAGATAGTTTGGACTTGTGTCCAATTATATAATTACAGCATAGTCATATATCTCTTAAAGAAGTTCCTTCATTTGGGGGACTGATTTAAAAAAAAGTAAAAGTATCAGCAGGAATGAGAGAACAGAATGCTCTCCTGCTACAAGTGTTACTGAATTGTAGATAAATAATTTACAGACAATCAAAAATCAAACACATAAACTGAAATGCGGTCTGTTTGCTATTTTCCAAACTGTGGGAACAAAATGCTGAGCTACACTTGAACAGGAACTACTTGGACATTTCCAAGCTGTGGCTGCTTCTGCCTGCAATAATCAAACTCAGTGGCAACTGCACGAGACCTTAACCAGGGGTTTGCAACCTTTACAATCAAAAGAGCCATTTTACACCTTTGTTCACTAAATTAAAAGTGTCCAGAGCTGCAACAACCTGTTCCAGTATTCACATATTTGCAAAAGAAATAACAGGAAAACAGCTAAAACTAATACTTTTTTGTTTGTATAACAACCAATAAAATTCAGTTTTATGTTAATTTTGGTCAAAGCTTAAAAGAGCCGCTGCAGAGGAACCAAAGAGCCACATGTGGCTCCAGAGCCACAGATTACAGAACCCATGTCTTAAACCATATCAGCCTTACAAATGGTTTTAGGACCAAAACGTTTGCACGCTAGCATTGAACTGATGAGCTGCAGTTCTGAGCACATCAGAACTTATTTAAGAGAAATCTAAACTTAAATTACTGAGCCAAGACTAAACTGTATTCTTCCTCTGAATATTTTATTTTATTAAATTCTGGTTGTTAAATTTAGTTTTTTATTGTTATTATGGGGCAGCACGGTGGCGCAACTGGTAGAGCTGCTGCCTCTCAGCGAGCAGGTCCCTGGTTCAAACCCTGGTCCAGGGGCCTCTCTGGGTGGAGTTTGCATGTTCTCTCCATGCATGCGTGGGTTTTCTCCGGGTACTCCGGTTTCCTCCCACAGTCCAAAAACATGCATGTTAGGCTGATTGGTAACTCTAAATTGTCCCTAGGTGTGAGTGAGAGAGTGAATGGTTGTTTGTCTCGTTTGTCTCTATGTGGCCCTGCAATGGACTTGCGACCAGTCCAGGGTGTACCCCACCCCTCGCACAGTGATTGCTGAACATGGGCACCAGCGACCCCCGTGACCCAAAATGGAACAAACGGGTAAAGATAATGGATTGATGGATTATTATTATGTAGCTGTGAACAGCTGTTTGAAAGAATATTAATTGTTGTGTAACTCGCTCAAACATATAACAGAAAAAATAACTTCCTGTTATTTGTTAAATGACTCGTCCCCTCAGATAAGTCACACTTGTCATGGAGTTGACTTCATGAGGTCGCAAAAGTCTGCATCAGCATCCCTGACTCCATCTGAACCCCACCGCCTCCCTCTGTGGAGCTGAGTGAATCAAATGTGGGGCCCAGTATATAATGCCACACTGACAGACAGAGACATGAGCTTTTCTTTCTGTATTCGAAGAGACAGCTGTCAAAAATCGTGATGTTACTGCGTCACCAGCCCACCCACAGAAAGAGGAAACATTGGAAATGGCAGGCCAAATGTGCTGATGTTCTCAAAAAGAAACACAACTGCTGGGTCTGCAACTCTCCAGTCTCTGGAAAAATCGATTAAACCTCACAGGAAGCTGCAGAGACGATACAGGGCAAGACAAAACCAGTTGTCATGGTTACTGGAATACAGTAAGGTGGGTGGAGGCAGTGAGAAGATTTTAACCGATTAACTACAAAATGTGTTGTACATTAAAAAAAAAGATGAATTTTATCCTGTGTTGTGATAAATGAGTTCTTAAATATTCAGAAGATTTGTGAGGAAATTAACTAAACCACCATGACATCTTTAAATAGTTGCACAACGCACAAAAAGGATATGAAATGCCCAAAATTACAATATACTAGACAAATGAGATTCATCAGGAACATGTCATCTAAGAACAACTGGTGGACATGAGGGAGGTCCATTTAGTTATAGTTTCATATTCTAAAACACATGGTGACAAAATATTATGAGTACAGTAAATGCAAAGGGAAATAATTATTTTTCTACCAACATACATTTTATTACATGCATATTTTATTGTTAGTGTTTCACAAGTACAGAACATCTTTTTATGTAGCCTAACTTATCTGTTATACAGATTTAGTAAGTTTTGTATGATCCTAGCAAGTTATGATGTTGTGGATGAGTGTTCAGACCAAAAACAGGTTTTTCTAAAGGACAATATTGGCATTATTTTTATCTTTAACTGTTACCTCTCATTTGAACTTTAAATGTAAAGCTACATGTCAAAATTGCAAAGCTGGTAACAGTGTGCTCAAAAGAGCCCAAGAAAAGTTTTCTAATACAAAACACATTTTAGTATCTTTAACTTTTAACTTTTTATTTGTACAGTAAATGTAACCTTTGATTCGCATAAAATTGCTAACCAAGTTCGAATGACGTCTCCTAGTAATGAAATGCATTTGGTTTTCTATTTTTCGTTGTTAGCCTTTCATGCGTATGGTAAATGAAAGATAAACCTTCAAGCTCTTTCACAAAACAGTCATGCGAAATGGCAACAAAAATCAGTCCGTCTTCATGCTGCGTCTGATTGTTCATAAATCACTGATGGAGCTGGACAAGTCTCGCACACACGAGTTTCCAGAAAAAGTGAATACGTATGGTGAATCGTATGAAACGTGAAACGTATGTTGGAATCAGTCTCCCCATCATCACAGACATCTACACCTCCAGATGCAGGAAGAGGGCCACCTGCATCATGAAGGACCCCACCCACCCAGCACACACACTTTTTGCCCCACTCCCCTGAGGAAGGAGGTTAAGGAGCATTAAGTGTAGAACCACTAGACTGAGGAACAGCTTCTACCCTGAGGCTGTTAGACTCATGAACCTCTAACTAGAATAATCACTGTGAAAAACCATATCATGTTGCTGCTGATCTGTTTCATGTTGCTGCTGATCTGTTTCAATGTTGATGTGTTCATGCGTGCACATCTGCTCACAGACTCATGTTCATGTTTGTGGTGATGTTCAATGTTTTATGTTATGAGTGCTTAGTGTATATTTAGTTGATGTTTTTCTTAGTTCATATCTTAGATGTTATTACTGTTTTTCTTATACATTTTATTGTTGGATGTAACTGGGACCCTGCGTACATAATTTCGCTCCACCACATGTACCACATGAGGTGCGAATGACAATAAAGAAACTCTCTCTCTCTCTCTCTCTCTCAATCTTCCCTCAGTAATTAATCTGTTTGGTGTTTAATCCTGTAACTGGGTGGTCACACAGACCAGCTGTCATCACTTCTTCACATTAAGCCACAAAGCCAACGTGCCTTTTCAGACCGTTTTGGCTCTGCTACTACCTTGCTTTGTGGCACAAATGTGCATCTGTGGTGGGTTGGCTTTGACCCCTCTCATCACCTCAGTCCATTCAAAAATCCCACCAAGGTGGCCAGAAGGCATCCAAGTCCCAGTTTAAAGTGTTTTGTGCTAGAGCCTTTAGATCGTATGTGTCAAACTCTAGGCCTGGGGGCCAAATGTGGCCCTTGTTGACATCTTATCTGGCCCCCAAGATGATATGTGAAATGTAAAATACTTCTATCTATTGCATTTATTTCAGTAATGTTTGATTATGATGTTGAAAGCACAACAGAGAACATCAAATGAGACCAATCAAACTCTTGTTGAGGAACCTGTGACCAAGAAAAGATGCTGGGTATCTGATTTAGTTAATGTAATTTCTGAAATTGGCCCTTAGTTTGAAAAAGGTTTAAATTTTGGCCCCCTATTGTAAGTGAGTTTGACACCCCTGCTTTAGATTATCATAAGACTGATGAGAGGGCTAAGATGGCTGCCTGGTCTAATAACTGTTGGCTAAGGTCACCAATTAAGATGCAAGTGTGTATTTTCTCTTACTCGTCATCTCATACCCCAACATTTTCTAACTTTCAGGGTACAAAATTATGTTAAAAATGACTGAACATTTTCTACACACATATGCACAAAGTACACATATTAAATGTGAGATAAAGTCACAAGATAGGTGACCATGATTACATTCATCTGCGTGACTAAGGAAGTGGCTGGATGGTTCATTGTTTCATTTCTCTAAAAGCAGCTGATAAATGTATAATGGTGCACAAATGGTTTTGAATGGACGCATCAAAAAAATGTTGGAATCAGCCACGTTGGTTAGGCCTCAAACCATATTTCAATAATTTCCTCACCAAACTCCATCACCCTGCATGAAGTGTTTTGACTGAGTTTGTTGCTATTTTGTTAGATTCGATTTATATTTTTAAGCAAAGTGGGTATGTTTTAAAGTCATGGTGTACATTTCTGTTGTTTCTGCTTATCCATTCATTCATTCATTGTCATTACACAAAATATCAGGAACTTACCTTTCCCTTTCCAGTGAGCCTGTGAAGCAAATCCTATGTGCCCTCCATATTTTCTGTTAAATTCTGCCATGAGGGCTTTGTATGGGTTTCGGATCATGAGGATGCTCAAGTCAAAGGCTTCGATCTCTTTCCTGCCACTCTCATGCGTTTTAATGCAGACTGTCCTCCCACTCCTCCAGTGGTCACGTTCCCCTTTAAAGCCTACAACAACAATGCACAGTTTATGTATTTGATCTATTGATACGAGACTCTGAATGACTGATCATGTCATAAGTTTGTTGAAGTTCACCTTTGTTGTAAAGCGAGCCATCAAAGTAGAAGCTGCCTGTGTAGAAGCCGGTGGCGAGCTCGATGAGGTGGCGAGCCCATGTGTTACCAGCTCCGGGGAAACTGGCGAGAGCCACCAGCTGCTTCGCACGAGTGGGAAGGAAGTGTCGGTCCATGCAGCGGTTATCTATCGCCACAAACAGAACAATAAGGTGAATCATCCATTTGTTTTACAGAAACACTCATGCATGACATTGGCTTTCAATGGCTTTACAAAAATCATGTTGCTTTTAAGAAAACCTGCATCAAATAGATTCTGAAAGTTACTAACTTCCTGTTCATAAACAGTTTTGTAAAACTGACAAAGGTTTAATTATGAAACTTAGAAAACTGGAGGAAGTGATATTCACAAAAGTAAAAGAAACGGACATAGCTTGATGTTTTTCTGTTGAAGTGGGTATTATTAGCAAAGTTACCGTATGCTTGATGACAATTAAAAAAAAAAAAAAGCTCTTCATTAATCCATTTTAAGTTGAAGCAGGTGTTAAAACTAAACAGGTAGTCAGAATGCTCTTTTTATACTTCTGGCTTGAAAATAAACAGAAAATAAAATGTTTTGGAAGAAGATTTCTTCTTGATTCAGTTCAAAAATCGATGATCCAATTTTATTTGTTTTATAACTAAGAAACTGCAATAATATTAAAGTGTTCAGCAAAAAGCTAACAAATTACAGTTATGAGTAAATCAAATTCTTATTTACTACAACTTTAAAATACAACTTAATGCTTAATAAATGACTCAATGCTTGAGCAAAGTTCACACCATGAAATTATACAAACAGTGAACTTTTAGCTCTGGCTTCATTCAGTTTTAAATTTAAAAGGTTACAACAAGCATTCATTTTCTTTACTAACTTGTGAGCTTTTTGGTTTGGTTTTGATTTTGGTTTGAACAAAACCTGTTAGTTTATGCTGCTTTTAAACCAGGCTTCTCTGTTTTCGAACCTGTAGGTTTAAACAGTTTGTAAGATTTTTGGACGTATAGAACGTACAGAGAGGATGCTTAATGTGTGCGGTTATAGAACAAGAACCTAAAATAATTAATGTTTGAGGACCAGAATAAGCTCACTTGTTTTCTTAATAATTGAATCATCAACTAAACACTTGCATTTCTGTATTGGGTGATTAAAAAAAAAACATTTGCGTTAATGGTACTCAGTCAGGTATTTGTGAACTTTAAGACAAACACTTGTTAAATCTTTGTTATGTGGTAAGAGGTCAGTCTTGTCAAGAGTTATCTTTAGTTCTTAGCGTGGTCTGTTACACAAACACTTCTTATTTTAAATCAAATATAGTCAAACCTTTAATGCAGTTTGGTTAATTTATTTGAGGCTGCAGCACAGAGCTTGCGTGCCCGAATAAATGTTTCATGTCAAAACTGCACACAGGAAGTGGCTAACACATTTTATTTCCCCACACGCCTCTTTTCTTGTGTGTGTCGTCTACAAACTGCAGTGACTGTGCAGTCAACACACACTAAATGTTACCTTGAACCTGTGTCTGGTACACCACAAAGAACTTGTCATTTCCACAGTTCTCAAACTCTTCCCCTGAGCATCGGTGGAGACACATGTCCTCGTCCTCCAGCTCGTGAAGGGAGAAGAGAGACGTTGGGAAGCCGCAGTGACACCGGTCTCCAGCCAGAACTGCCAGCGACTTCTCCTGAGACAAAACAACCGTTGTACAGTGAGTGTACAGAGCCACGTCGTGCACAGTCCATCAACACGCGCTGCCTGCTCACCCTCTCCGTGCACATGTCCACACACTTGTCCACAGACATGTTCTGGATGACAGCGCTGAAGGGGAGCGCTGCGGTGACATTGTCCGGCCGGTGGAAACACCCTTTGAAAATGGCATTGCCATCTGAAAGAGAAAACAAACCAGAATGTTACTCACCAACAGAAAAACACAACACTGTGGGGGTTTTTTTTAGGCGACTGAACACAGCTTCCATCATAACAGCTCCCAGCCGCTGACCCCTGATGATGAGATCCCGTTGGGACTCTCTGCCGGTCTGCCGAGGCCCTGACCTGCCAGCAGACAGAACCACTAAACAGCGTTTACATCCTCGCTGCGTGATGATGACCTTTAACTGCTGGTCCTCCTACTGAGCACTGATGATGGACCATCACTAAACAAGACGAGTGGTTCTTTTATTTTACTTCAAGTTTTGCTATTGATTACAATAATATTCAGTAAATTTTACATCTTTAGACAGATGTTAAAATCAAAGTTAATGATTTGCTTTCAATACCTTGATTTATATTTTGAGCTTTATTGAGAAATTGATAAGATAAACTGGATTCTTTACCGGCAATGTTTCTTTCAAAGTATCAAAGCTCTATTTTTTTCACATTATTTATTTATTTTTAAGGGGTCAGATATAGGCGTGAAGTGAGGAGGAAGTGGAGATGTGCAAAGACTCAAGTCTTTTATTTATTTCTGGTTGCAGTCAGTTTGTGAAAGCTTGAAGGAAATGAGTCGCTCCAATCTTATGGCTTTCATTGTGACTGATAAGAGCAGTGAACATGATTTACAAATATACAGACAAAGCTAACGAGCTTTAATCAGTTCACAATATTAATTACAGTTTTTTTTTAATTATTTACTAAAAAATAACTATAAGGTGTTACAAACAAGACTAAAAAATAATTAGCAGAAAATGTATCTATCAATTATTTTCCATTTTATGTCAAATTTTATTTCCTTGAAATAAATTAATTGCATCATTTTCTGCTCAGGTGCTGCTGCAAATGTGGATGAAATGTTTCATTTTAGATTTTTTAAACAAGCAATTCCTTGAGAAGGAAAAAACTCAACTAAATGTTCTAATCACCGTTGAAACATATACGTGTGAACACGATATTTCTAAGGAGCAAAGCCCCAATGAGCTGCAGCAACACATTTACTGCGCTTCCTCTTTGATGCTCGGAACGGAGCTCACATGACGGACATCAGGGCTAGAGGTGAAGACGCCAACATGAAAAGCTTACACAGCACTTAAATAGGCAAACGGAGGGGGGAAAAGCAGAAACTGAACGCATAATAAACAAAACAAAACACCAGCAGGGAACTGGGAGAGAGGAGCTGTAGGTTTACTGTGGGTAGTAAAAAAAAAATATTAAAACTATATAGTGTATTCATGAAAATGGAAGACAGATGAGAAAAGGGAAGGGTAAAGGGAGGAAGGAGAAGGTGCAAAGTTTACTTCAGCTTTCTGAAGGGACTTTTTAAAGAGGAATATCTTACTTAATACTGACCTAAAGTCAAAATGTAAATTTTATACCACCTCGCAACATACTGTACTTTCAGTATGTGATGTAATGCTGAGTATTACTCTGACCCATACTTAACTGTTGTGTGCAGTCAGTGACTTTGTTGCTGTTTCTCTCATTATTTGTTTATATACATATATATATATATATATATATATATTCAAACATTTACATTTAACATTTAATTATTTTTGTGACATTTTGAACTGTATTTTGTTCATATTTGGTGCATTTGTTGAAGTGTGCTGTTGTGCATGTATTTATTAATGTCTAATGCTTCAGTACCTTAAGAAGTTTAGCTAATTTTGATGAAAATTGAACAATGATTAAGGCTTATTATTCTATACTATTAACACACACATGCCATACTTTAAAATTATTGGTCTTTTACAGCGGATGATCAGCCCTTTTCTGCTACTTCGCAGCTTTTCCTGCAGGCAGTGAAGTGTTTAGAAGTCAGACCACGGCTGGCTACATGTAGGTAGAACAGTTCTTACGGGAATTATGAAAATAAGAGCACAGCCATGCTCCCAACTGTAGCAATAATCCCCAAGTCTTTTACCTCAAAGAAACCAAGGATGTTTTTTTTGCAGCCTGTAATTCTCAGGTCTAATTCTTCTCACAACAGAGTTACAGTACGTGATCCTTCATAGTCTCCTTTAGTCTTTTTAGACAGCATCGCATGAGGAAGCTCAGGACTTGCATGAAGCAGAGACTCACAGCGGCGTGCAGACTCCTGGCTCAGCTCCAGCCTATAGATGGACAGTCTGTTGGCTCCTCCACACATGTTGCTTTTCTCTCCCTTACACTCAAAGTTGCATTCGCTCTCCGAGGTGTTGGGCGCCTGAATCTTGTGGCCACAGTAGCATTCTGCTCCGAACTCAAGACCTGCATACATGTAGCCTCTGGACACAGAGAAATAAAAAATAAAAATAAAAAAGTAAGCTGTATGTACAAGAAGACAAGATTAGTTGATTTTTCTGAGACTTCATCGTGCTGTCAAATCCTTCCCAGGCCAATACAATGTAATCTTCTGCACTGCTTGGTGAGCTGGAATCAATAAAAACAAACTAATTGTGCAACAGGGATGCTGAGGTAAAGATGAAAACACACACAAGATCATTCAAACATCTTTCGTTGGTGTCTGAAGATGAGTTATTTATTCTGCAGACTTCAACGACAAAGCCAGTGATCTTCGAGTGGCGTACATAAGAGTGAATCACATCTTTCCTTTCTTTATAAAGGTACTGACTCCCAAGAGACATCTCTCCAATGCAATTAGACGTTTAACATAGCGCACACACAGGACAAATCCCCTGGGCTGCCAGTCAGACCCACCCCTCTTTTGGCTGCTGTGTGTGGCCTCTCATTTGTTTGTCTGTTTTTATTAACCTGCTGCTCTGACAGAGGAGACAGGCGGGCTGAGGGGGGCAAGAACCGAAAGGCGAGAGGGAGCTGAAAACAAGCATCTTTCCTTGCTCCTGTTCTCAGCTCTGTGAATCAGTGATGGGTGTAATTTAATGCATTTGATAGAGCCGTCCCCGTGTATTCCACAGAGAGGAGAAAAGGAGGTGAGAAGAAGACGGTGTAGCAGTGGGAGGCAGGGTGGGAAGGGAACAGCAAAACAATGCACAGAGGAGAGAAATGCTTTCAAACATTTAGTATACATTTCTGCTTTTCAGAAAATGACTATAATATAAATTGATCAGACAATCTGATTAAGCATGCCCTTTGTATAAAGTGTACTGGGGTCTCATAATATACTCTATATAAATTGAATTTACTTTAATATTGTTAAGAAATGCCCTCTAAATGAAGCACTGGCAACACAATATTATGCCCTATGTGTTTTGCACACAGTATCTACTAGATTGCATGCTCAACTAGAGGTCAGGTGACTAAGATAACGGGTTAACCTGACCATTTAGATGGTAATATTTTATTAAATTAAAGTAAGAACTTTGGAGTGTCACATCATTTTATGTTGCTTCACAGCTCAAGGTTATCAACCTGGGTCTGCTGATGCCATAAAGAGGAAGTGAAACATGAACGCATCACCACTTCATCCAAATCAGTGTTTTGTCCTCTTCTAAATATGCTGAGTTCATCTACTTCAGAATGCCAAATAAGGTCACGTTAGGTCAAAATCAATGGTACTATCGGAGCTAATGCTGTTTATTTTGATTAGATAGCTCCTTACAGAATATAATACACATGATGAAAATCTCTTCATCATTCTAGTCAATTCAGTCATTTGAAAATCCCGCACGAGATGGGCAGGTGTTAAAAACATCTCGGTGTGGCTCAGCACTCAGATTTTCTTCAGCTGAACAGATTACAAGGTTTGTATGAAGGACCCAAATGCAGGAACTGAGGAGGCAGGTTCAAGACCTCAGCAAGATGTTTAATGACAAGACTAAGGTTAACAGATAAAATAATAAAAAAATAAATAAAAAAAATAAATAGATGAGTGTAAACAAATAAAATAATAATAATAAATAAATAATTATAAAATGAGTTAAAAAAAAACAGAAACAAAAATATGATTGCATTTTATTTGACAGTCATGCTCTTCATCATCTTGGAGCTCACAGTTTTACAACAGACACTGTAACTTATCAGTCTCATTTTGTGGTTCTTTAAGAAGTTTTTTCTGAAGCTTTTTGTGACAAAATTTTCATTATTATTTATTTTTTAACAAAATATTAATCAACAGATGCATCCTTCTAAGATCTAACATCATTTTTGTGAGATTGTTGTAAACTCTTGAGGTTCTGTATTAAAACTGTAATAAATTCAAGTTTAACTAAACTTTATTGTCATGACCATCACATTTGGTACATGAGATGGAACAAAATTATTTACACAAGGTCCCAGTTACAATCAAAAATAGCAAAATATACAGTATAAAAGAAACAGTATAAGGATCTAAGATATACACCAAGATAAACACTAAAACAAATGCCAGCCGGTACGCTAAAAGATCTAAGATTTACGCTAAACACTAATAATGTAAAACAATATGGAGTAATGACAGCAGCCCGAACATGAGTCTGTGGTGAGCAGATGGGTATGAATGAATACAGCAGCATAAGATAATCAGCAGCATGAGATAATCAGCAGCATGTATATCAGCAGCATGGATAATCAGCAGCATAAAATAATCAGCTGCATGAGATCAGCAGCATGGATAATCAGCAGCATGAATAATCAGCAGCATGAGATCAGCAGCATGGACAATCAGTAGCAGCACAAGATCATCTGCGTGGATAATCAGCAGCATAAAATAATCAGCAGCATGTGATCAGCAGCATGTATAATCAGCAGCATGGGATCATCAGCAGCATGAGATCAGCAGCATGGATAATCAGCAGCACAGATAAGTCACATATCATCAATGAAAGTGGCATAACAGTGATTGTTTTGGTTAGAGATTCATGAGTCTAACAGCTCACAGGGTAGAAGCTGTTCCTCAGTCTAGTGGTTCTGCGCTTAATGCTCCTCAACCTCCTGCCTGAGGGGAGCGGGGCAAAAAGTGTAAGACATAAGACTGTTTGTGGTTGAGTTCCTCATCGCCTTGTTTTTGCTATGATGTGCTCTTTAGATGTCAAAGAAGTACATTTATATTCAAAGGGATAATATTGCCCATTATTTCTCAAACATGAATTGGGTAAAAATAAGAGGGATGAATAACGAATGAGACTTTTGTTCTTTGCATGTGTCATACCTTTCTGCACAGTTGTCCTGGCAACGGAATACGGTCATTTTTTTGTAGTCAAAAAAGGAAACTCCTCTCAGTGCTCGCTTCTGAGTGTCATCAACATAGCAGCCAAAATACTTTGCTGAAAAAGAGAATCACAAATAAGTAACCTTCACAGAGAAAAACCTACACATTTAACACAAACGCTTCAAATGCAGGAGTCAGATCCAAAACGAACCTGCAGAAATTCTTGAAGGAAAGATTAAAAAGTGAAAATTCACTTGGAACCATTTTCTTCACAAGGCTGCAGAGTAGTAACATGTGGAGTCAGAAGTGGGGCAGGATCTTTATTTATTTATGAAGACACATATCCCCTTCTAGTGGCGTGTAACTGTAGTAGCAGTCATCTCATTGCATTTTTCAGAAAGTGTGTGAGGGGATGGGGCTGGGTTTTAGCAAAACCTCTGCAGAAGGATTCAGCGATCCTTCAACGTCTTCTTCGCTTTAATAAAATGCTGCTCTCTAGCTTTTCAATTAACCGGTCAATGAAGTTTCCAACAAAAACCACTTGTCTGTGCCACTACATCACAGTCCTTAAAAGAAAAATAGAAGAATTAAAAACTGTGTACCTTTAAAAACTGTGCCTCTTCCTCAGAAGATAATCTACTATATGACAGAATGATGATTAAAATGTTCTGTGTGTTCAGAATAACACGAGTTATGGGGTGTAGATGCACCTGAGTGAACCCTGCTGAGTCATGTTAGTGTTTTACGTGTTTGTTCTCATCAGTAAAGTATGCAGCACTCTGCGCTATTGCACCAAGCTGCATAAAAGTGTGCTGGAGCCTCTTCCACTGCACTGTTCCCTTTAATGTACAGTCAGAACCAGACACACACACGCACGCAGAGAGAAAGAGATGCTGTTCAGACTGAGAGGAGAAAAAAATACCCTTTAAACCAAACATGAGAGGGTTCTGGAGACGTTTTAGGCTACAGAGTAATGAGTGCTGCTGGATGCATGAGGGAAAACAAATGCTTTGAAGCTATTAATTACTCCATCATCACATTCAGCTCCTGTCCCAAGAGGTTAGTGTTACAGAAAAGGGAAATGTGCGAGAGGAGGAAAACTGAGCCAGACTGAGATCTTCACCCAACCCAATGCTTTAATGTGCATTAGAAACATAGAAAGATTCAGCTCTGAAGACGTTTTAAATCGTTGTTCTTGTTCAATCTTGTAAAAGAAAAAAAAGTTATTCATTTTTTTGTTGCTTAACTTTTGTCCCACTCACAAATGTTTCCCAAAGTCAAAAATTAGGCAGCCAATCTCATTTTGTCTGTGCAGAACAAACTCAAGCCTACTTGTCATGTTTCTGAGCAGCATTCATCACATGTCTGTGCAGAAATAACTAACTCTCTATCCTTGGTATTCTGGTACCATTTTAAAATAGAAACTTCCAGCAAAGTCATGACATCCCGACCAGTCCAGCAGTATTCAAACCAGATGTTTGCTCTTGCCCATCAAATGGTTTTATATTCAGGTAACTGGCATTTAAAGGTGTGAAATATGTCCCCCTAAAATGTTTTGCAGTGGAAAGAAGCTGCATAAAATAAAGCGAAAGTAACTAAACGGGCACTTGGGCACAGAGCTGTGTTTTTCTGAACGCTGTGAAAAGCGCTTTAAGGAAAAATAACTGAGCCAGAGATATGTTCAGTTCAGCTCATTTCACAGCAGTTTATTTGGAAAGCAGGAAGTAAGCAGGATATTTGTGCCATTCAAGTTCAGAATGTCAGCTGTGAACTGGCAGCCCCACACTGCAGCTTTTAGAAAAGACGTGCAGCCCAGGAGTTTACATGTAAACCTTTTCAGATGGATTATGGCTGCGCAGACTATTACAATAAGAGATAAAACCCTAAATCCTGCAGCCATGTAGTCATTTAGATGTTGTCATAATATAATCTGCCATTGTTTGGCTGAGCATGTGCTGGGCAGTGCAGAGCAAAGCTTCAGATGAGCACAGAGGGTGAGCTCCTTGAACAATTAACACAAAGAGACGACAGAGGACTTAACTCTCCATCTCTGTGCACTCTGAGGAGGTCTCCCCAGAGACCAAATACAGCTTGGACTCTTGAGCCATTAGGATGCAGCAGAGATTTATATCAACTATTTCACAATACCATGAATTGCTTTCCAGTATGTTATGAATTAGCTTGTACTGCAATAACAAGTATTTTATTCATACAGTAACTGAATATTGTTGATATTCGTCTTATACTTAATTTTCTGGTAATGTTTTTTACCCAATAAACAGATTAGCTATGAAACACCAACAGTGTATTTGCCCGTTTAAAGCCACCGAATCTCACATCTGCTGATTTGCATGAGTTTGTGTTTTTATTTAACATTAATGTATCGATATGAGGATAAAAAAAAAAGATAGCTGTGTTCACCTCACCTCGTCCATCGTCCATCTCTTTGGCATTGCGACCTTTGAGTGCACGGTTCCAGTTGCTGGTATAGTCTCCCCCCCTGCGCTCAGTGCCGTGGCTCTCGTGCCCGCTCTTTCTCATCCACCGAGGTCCAGGTTTCCGACCAGACCTGTGAGTCTCCTTAAACACTCTGCTCATGATGCCGAGCCCTCGGGTGTCTGATGATGCGGCTCGGTTGCCCGACTCTGAAGCTACGACAGAGACCCGGCTCCCTCGGGCCCCAGAACCTCGGTCCCTGACGAAGCCAGCGTGCAGGAAGACGAGGCTCCCAGCAGTCAAGTAGAGGAGGATGAGGGAGAAGAATCTGACAGGTTTCCTGCAGAAATAGCGCTGTATCCTCAGGAGAGGCTTGGCCATGCTGGCTCCCTCTGCCTCTTTGACACTCCCTCACAGTGAGAAAAACTCATAAAGCAAGAATCAATACCAGCTTTCTGTCTGCTCCCACCTCACAGCCCCACTGGGGGGGGGGGGGGGGGGGGGTGAAAAAAGCGTCAGTCAGAGTGTCTTAATCTTGTATGAAGGTCATCCCAGCGATCACATGACTCCTGTCTCACGTATGGATCTTCAGTGGCATAAGTGTGGTGCTCTGCATGGGTGCACCCTGCAGACTGAGTCCTCGTGAGGGTCTGTGTGTGTTCCCACCAACAGTCTAACACCCACAACCAGCTACAGGGCCATGGCATGAAAGGTGAGTGGCTCAAAGTGAAAGATGATCGCTCAATGCCGCCTCACTCCAGTTATCAGCCTGTACTGCGATGCTACAACAGCGCTGCAGTGGCACTTTCTCCCACGCTGTGCCGAAGGAAGAGGGCTATTTACCAGCTGAGCTGAGATCCTTTGGCTTTGTGAGGCTGGATAGTCACCAAGACATCCTGGCAAAAAAGGGTGTGACTCACCATCTGCAGTAAAAACACACACACAAGAAAAAATAAATAAGCACTCCAAAATAATATGAATCATTTGCAAGTAGCAGATACATAACCCAAACACGTTATGTAATGATCCAAAAGTTCCTGATAAGCTTAGCTTTATTCAGAATTATCAGTGGAAAATCAAACAAATTATTTAATTATAATCTTGGTATTTCAAACTGAAATAATAAAAAAAGACATAGGCAAGGAAAGCCAAAACATGTGACTAAAAGCATTAGGAAATATTGCAAATTAATTTCTGTTTAACCATTCAGAAACAATTAACATAATTAAGTTTACAGTAGGGCATCTTCTTTGGTAAATTAGCTGAAGTTGTGAGATAAAAGCAAAAGGAAAAGGAAAAAGCTCTACCCCGCAGCAGTTTTACTGAGCTGTCTGAAATGTGGGAACGTTGGAAATTATTAAAATAAATCTGGATAATCTAAGGTGACAGAATCAGAGCGAGCAGGCTCAAAGAATGCAGAGGTTAAAAATCTGGTATTGGTTGAGCAATTTTTTCCCATAAATCTAAACCACAAGTTCTTGAAAAATGAATAGTTGTTTTTTCTTATCATAATTCTGTCAAAGATTTTCAGATAACTGCTCCCCCCCACCCCCAACTTTATAAAAAGTCTGTAGCTTCCCTCAAAGGAGTCTCTGTTCTGGGACAAACCAAGGAGGTTACTGGGAGGTGTAACACAACACTCCTCAAGGTCAGGGAGTTTTCCAGAACATTCAACGGGGACGCACAGCCTCGCAGCTTTCTGTCCGCCCCAGGACAAATCTGTGCCGTACTGGTCACCTGAAACCCACACCATGGTTTTCCGCTCCTCTGCCTCTCTACACCCAAACTATTCAAGGCCTTTAACAACCTGCAGCATCCGCACAGAAAGAACAACTTCATTCTGTCTGATGTCCCCAAACTTTAGTTCTCAGTGTTCCTACAAAGTCACTAAATGTAGGAACAAAGAGTGCTGATGTAAAGTTCCTAAAATATAACGTGTATCGGGTTCATGCAGAACAAGAAAGACGAGAAATGGATCTATGATGTAAATTTAGTTATTTGGATGATGCAGAACATTTCAGATTTGCAAGCATAAATAAATCTGCAGAACTGTTTGACTTTCTTCGGGTTTATTTACCCAAGCATTAGATTCAAACTATGGGACCAGTATCTTGTCTGACTGCCAAATAGAAATATTGAGCTAGAAGCGTTCCCCCTTCCCCCTTTCTCTTGGGGGCTCGTCCGGGATATGAAACCGAGGACAAGAAGCAGGTTTGCCTGAATGGAAACAAATTATTTTTAAAAAACAAAAAAGGTTAAATAGTGTCATCTGGACCAGTTTATTTAAGTGAGAAACGTTTCGTCCCCCATCCAGAGAACTTCCTCAGTCTATGGCCTGCCAACCAGATTTGTCCCATAGGTAGCCTTCACTGTTAAATTATCTTTTTAGTTTAACAAAACAGTGTATTAATGTTAAAACTCTTTCTTTAATTGTTCTGCAGTGTGGAAGTACTCGAGTTTCTTTTCGTCATTCCCATGAACATGAGCAGCCTCTGATCCACATGAACACAGCTGCACAGTTTGATCAGTTCTCCCAGCAGCTGTACAAACATATCGAGGGGTTACTCCCACACAAAACCTCACACTCTAACGAGGATGAGGCATCAGACCTGTGCAAGATCGATTTATAAAAAGAAAGAAAGAAGATTTAAAGAACAAGTTGATGTGACTAACAATCTTGTCGTTGAATCTTAAACACATTTGCTCAGGAGATACTGTGTCATATCTGGGTTTGGAAAACAACAACTAAAATGTCCTGATGCATGCTCAATAATCCAGGTAGAACAAATAAAATGATTTATTCAACATGTCACAGTTGTGTGGAAGGGAAACTGTTTTATGAAAATAAGCAGTGGATGGGCCAGCTGGGTTTTAAGGCTACAAATGGCATTTCTGAATAGATGCAGGAAAAATGTTGTGACCTCTTTGTCCTTGAAAGACAAGAAATTACATTTTATGGGCGAACAGATTGAGAAAATGTACATGTGATGCCGGTGTGCCCACCATGAATGCAACTTTACTCGCACAGGTTTATTACTTCTATTAATAATTTAAATCCTTCCCTTGTCACAAAAAGGAACTGAACGCTCAGTTGACAGAAGCACAAATAGACTCAGTAACATAATACAGCTCTCAAATCAAGAGACTGTTTTTTTCTGAAATTAGCATCTCTATGTTTATGAAAGCCATTTTAATTTACAAGCACACCTCTCTCAACTTAACAAGGCGCTGATAAAGTGATCACCTGAACCAATTCTTATTTAATGAGTATGCAAACCACTGCTGGTGGTCAATATCCTCTTGCAATAGAACCAGATGGTAGAAACAGTAGCAGAAACTCAGGAGAAATTGAAATAAATAAAAAAATTAAAAAAACAACAAATAAACACAGTACCTGCCTAAAGGGTTAAAAAGGTAAATTTTAAGTAAGGAAAGTAAAAGGTTCAGTTTGGCTTCACTGGCAGAGAGATACAGTGAGCATCAGGTTTTAATGAGGTTCAGATGCGGGTGAAGGACCATCAGGTCAAGACCCCGTCATGGTCAGTCCAATCTCCAAACCTTAACCCCACTGAAAACCTCTGGATTGTGATCAAGAGGAAGATGGATGGTCACAAGCCATCAGACAGAGCTGAGATGAGCGAAGATGTTTAAAAATGAAGTTTGAAGAAGCACAAGAAGTGCTAGAGGCTTCTAAAAGGAATGTTTTTCTGCAGAGGTATATTTTACTGCTCTGCAACAACCGGAGCTTTTCCATTCAAGTGCATGGTGACACGTAACAGATGATCTACATCCAGCTTTCTGTATGGGACCTGGTATCATTTGCAACCAGAAGACAATGTAGGAAACAAAAGATTTGTTCAAATTGTGAAGATTTTTCTGCTGTAATTTGCAAAAGACTGTATGAAGTTAGAACAAAACGAATGAACAATTTAACAATCTCACATATCTAACAGTAAATTAGAGGTTTTTCTTCACCCCCAAAACATTACTTTGGACAGTGATGCCATTTGTTTTAAACGGAGGATAAATGGAAAAATGGCACCTTCTTATGTAAAGAGGTGTACAATTAAAAAATGGGAGGAAACTTTTAAAAGCATTCTGTTTAGAAAAGAGATATACAGTAATTCTTCGGTATTTTTGTAAAATTATGACTGATCAGTAACTTGGAGAATTACTACACTGTTTTAAATTTTTATTGTAGATTTCCAGTGACGGAGGCAATACTCTGACCTGGTGCTATTTTAGTGAAAATGTAAAAGTTGTTTTTTTTACTGTATACATTTTATTACAAACACAGTCTAATTTCAATTTAACCTGAAATAACAACAAGAACAAGAACAGCAACAATAAAAATAATGTAATAATAATAAAATAAATGCAAAGTTGACAGTTATAGCTTTTAGGAAGAAATCAGAATTTGTCAAAGTCAGAGTCTGCAGGTCAGAGCTTGAACTGTAGAAAACTGAAAACTGCATCTTTAAATTAGAGGTACCGTATTTTCCGGTGTATAAGTCGCATCAGACAAAAAAAGCACCATGAAGAAGAAAAAAGCTTATAAGTTGCTTCAGTGTATAAGTCACATTTATTATGCGCTTATTTAATTGTCAAACCAGCTTCATTTTGCCTGGGCAGCGCGGCACCATCCATCTTTTTATCCATCCATCCATCCATCCATCCATCCATCCATCCATCCATCTATCCATGCAGTTCTTCGAAATTTAAAGCGTCAGTCAAAAATTGCGTTATGAATATGGAAAATAAAAACGTATATAAGTCACTTCGGTGTATAAGTCGCAGGACTGACAAATCTATGCAGAAAAACTGTGACTTATACACCGGAAAATATGGTAATTAAACTAACATGAACAGATAAAATTATATTCATAAAATCACAAAAGTGCGATACATTTTTTTCCTCAATATTTTATTTTATTACAATCTACAAGAGATCCTTCCTGCCCACAGCCATCAGCATCTAACATACAGTATATAATGTGTATGTTATATATAACAACTCTTTAATGAAACCAGGCTGATGAGTTATAACATTTAATTTCCCTTTGGGATTAATGAAGTATTTTTGAATTGAATTGAATACCTTTCTGGGAAAAAAAAATCCTAAAACTATATTCTCATGTTAAAACAGGGAGCGTCAGAGGACCATCAAAGTCATCTGATTTGTAACATTTAATCCCAAATCCAATCTGACCTAAATATACTGCTGGCATGATTAATGTGACCAACATGACAGAAGTTTCTAAAACCTATAATACCAGGTACTCATTGATTCCGGGAGCTTTTCAACTACTAATTCACATGCTGTACATTTGTCCTACTGAGCCTCAGAGTTCAAGTTAAAATGTTAAACCTCAGACACAAAGGACTGAAGTAAAGAAGACTAAAAGCAGCAGAACTGAGACAGAGGCCTCTGGTGATGCTTTGTTTGTTTGCCAGAGTGGACATACCCTTGCCTAATGCCCAT